ATTAGTCAAAGTGGTTGGCATATTGAAACTATAAATGAAGGGAAGATTGATTATCTTCATATTACTTTAATCATACCGGGTAATAATAAAAGGTCACTCGATTTTTCTTCTATCTGTACTGCACAAGTATAAGCATGATGATAGAATCATATGCCACAAGTAAACTAGAGGTTTACTGAAATAAATATTAGTTGGCATGACCGGTTGACCATCCCGGTTCAATTATGATGCGAAAATTAATTGAGAATTCACACTGGCATATATTGAAGAAATATAAGATTCTTCAAGAATTCTTTTGTACTGCTTATTCTCATGATATACCAATTAAGATTGGGATTGAATCCCTTGATTTCTGGAACGAATAAAAAGTGATAAATTTATGGGTTCAATCACCTGCCATGTAGACCTTTTATTATTATATGATTTTAATAGATGCATCTATTCTATGGTCACATGTGCATTTGTTCAACTTGAAGTTTGACTTTTGCAAGGTTACTTGCTAAACTTATTAGAGCAAAGTCCCAGAATATAAATTATGATAATCTATTTTGATAATGCCGAATTAAATCCAAGTTGGTTCAGCGGAAATTGTATGCCTCCAATTATAGCTAAAACCATTGGTCATGAGAACAAAACTCCCAAAACAAAATTTGGTATGTGATGTGTTATTTAATATACAACAACACTTGTACGCATCTAGCCAAGTTATGAAAAGTTCTCTCTATCACAATCGGTTCAGGGTCAGGAACAAAATAATTTCCATTTAGAAATATGGATGTGCTATATGATTTAATTATGCCACTACAATGCACAAAGATGGGTTCCCAAAGAAGGTTGAGAAATGTATTGGTGATCCCAACATTAGGGGGAGAAATTGGGTAGCTGAGAAATTGATACAAGGAATGAATTATTATGAATACAAATAGATCCCCGTACAAGAAAATATAAACTTGAAGTTCAAGTGATAATTCATTTGCAAATTATTGCCAGACGCATTTGCCGACCCAAAGCTAAATATTATATTTCAGCTGCTCATGCTTCAAATAGAATAACGTCCCTGATGGATAGATTTTATGGCACACATAAAACGTAATAGACTAATCGGTTCCAAAGATAAAACTTCTTGAAGAAGGAGAGGAGCAAATGTTCAAAATGGTCATAATAAGGAGGCAATTGCTCTAGAAGAGCACCACGACATAACACTTCATAAGACCTCATGGGAGAGGCTCAAGTACCTAAAAATAATGAGATAAAGAGATCTCAATAAGTTATGTCTTTATTGGGTAATAATGAAACCGACATAAAATGATCGTCGACGATATTGTTAATATAATATAGCGCTCAATATTATTGACGAGGATCTTGAGCTCAAATCTGTCATGAAATTTGGACAGATAAATGATTGGTCAAATGAAAAATACGCAGTGAAAATTAACTTCACCTAAAAATATGAAGTTGGACGGATAATCCCAACACCCGAAAGTATAAAGCTAGTGGAGATATAAATGTGTACTTGTTCAAAAAAAGTCAAGTCGATAAACATAAACACGACTTGTGTCACATGAAGATTTTAAATATCCTGCATTGATTATATAGAGACATGTTCTCTTGTGGTGGATGTAGTCATTTCAGGTTTTAATCTAGCAATACATGAAAATTTTGATATGCGTATAATGGAAATCATTGAAGGATTTAAATTGTTCTGAAGCATAGTAAGGTTTCCAAAAAATTTATTAAATAAAGCTTTAAAAATTCTTATACAAATTGAAACAATCAGGACGTATGTGGTATAATCGCCTGAGTGAGTACATGTTGAAAGAAGGGTACAAGAATGATTCAATTTGTCCTTGTGTCTTTATAAAAAAATCTGGATCTGAATTTGTTAGAATCGCCGTGCATGTTGATGATTTAATATCATTGGAACTCCTAGGGAGCTTCCTAAAGAAGTAGACTGTTTAAAGAAAGAATTTGAAATGAAAGATCTTGGAAAGACAAAATTTTGTCTTGGTCTACAAATTGAGTATATGAAAGATGGAATTTTTGTCCATCAATCAGCATACTCTGAAAAGATTTTAAAGCGATTCTATATGGATAAAGCACATCCATTGAGTAACCCGATGGTTGTGAGATCACTTGATATAAATAAAGATCCATTCCAATCTCATGAAAATAATGAAGAGTTTTTTGGTCCTGAAGTACCATATCTTAGTGCAATTAGTGAACTAATGTATCTTGCTAACACTACAAGGTCTGACACAACTTTTTCAGTTAATGTCTTAGCAAGATATAGCTCTGCTCCTACAAGTAGACATTGGAATGGAATCAAACACATATTGCGGTATCTAAAAGGGATTACCGATATGGGATTATTTTATGGCTATGTGTTTACATGTGGAGGCACAGCCATATCTTGGCAATCGACTAAGCAATCAATCGTGGCTACTTCATCTAATCATGCTGAGATAATTGCTATTCATGAAGCAAGTCGAGAATGTGTATGGTTGAAGTTTATAATACATCTTATTTGAGATAAATGTGGTTTGAAGTGTGACAAACTACCCACAAATTTGTATGAAGACTATGCAACATGCATAGCCCAATTGAAGAGAGAATTCATAAAAGGAGATAGAACAAAACACATTTTACCAAAGTCATTTTTCACACATGATCTTAAAACGAATGGTGATATCAATGCGCAACATATTCGTTCAAGTGATAATATGGCTGATTTGTTCACCAAATCTCTACCGACGTCAACCTTCAAGAAACTAGTATACAAGATTGGGATGCGAAGGCTCAAGGATGCGGATTGCTGCTCTCATCAGGGGGAGTTAATACGCGTTGTACTCTTTTTCCCTTACAAGGTTTTGTCCCACTGAGTTTTCCTTAGGTTTTTAGCGAGGCAACCAAAAGGCGTATTTCTAAATATGTGTACTCTTTTTCCTTCACTAGGATTTTTTTTCATAGGGTTTTTTCCTAATAAGGTTTTAACGAGACACATTATTTATGGACATCCAAGGGAGAGTGTTATAAGAAAAATCAAATTATGGTAGATGTTTACTCTTCCTCCATTATCTTCCTCCATGATCTTCATCTAAAATGTTAATGACATATTCAATGACATATGTTTCTTCACTTTTTATGCCTATATAAAAACTTTGTAATAGATAGGAAAATACACACAATTGAAGAAGAAAATCTCTTCGTTCTCTCTATCTCTATTTCTTGTTCATGTTTTACTAATTTATTTTTATTTCATAACAACTACTCCCTCCGTTTCAATTTATGTTAACATATTTCCTTTTTAGTCCGTGCCAAAAAGAATGACCTCTTTCCTTATTTGGAAATAATTTATCTTTATGCAATGATTTATACCTACACAAAATATATGTGCCTTATTTTACACCACAAATTTAAAAGTCTTCTATTTTTTCTTAAACTCCGTGCCCAATATGAGTTCACATAAATTGAAACGGAGAGAGTATTATTATACAACTTGGTTGGCTAGGAAACAGGTTAATCGAGGAGCCTACTAATATGCCAATCAAACTTACGGAAAAGGAATCTTCGTAACGCTCACAAAAAAACAGAAGAAGACGGAACTCAAAATGATATTAAAATCAGTTAAGATTTCACTAATTGTGTAATTTTTTTTTTATTACACCGTCAATTGATATATTAAACCCATCCAAAAATATTAATTGCATTGAGTGCTTGTTATTATTGGAAAAAAAATAATTTACTTATAAGTTGAATATTTTTAATGACGTGAGATCTTTAATAAAAACCGTGCGAATTTGGTCCAAGTCAAACAATATCATATTATATTAAAATTAATTTTAGATCATTTTAATTAAAGACCAGTCTTTTTAGGCAATAGCTAGTACACGTTAAGGTCTACGATTGCAAAGTCGAAATTGTAAAAAGCAATTGTCTAAGTGACAAATACAAAAGCTATCCATATTTCGGGAATGGGAATAGAGATTGGTCATTTAAGGTAATTTGACTTCATTTAATCGTTAATTTGCTATATAAGGAAATAAATTTCAATATATAACCTTAAGCCTTAACAGTGAAAACGATAGACGATAATATAAACAAAAGAAAATAATCACTTTAATGCAATGTTTCAGTAAAATAAGAATGCCTGGGTTTTTCAGACATCAATTTTCAAAGAACTTCAAGTTTTACATTTTATTAAGAATTTTTTCAGTACAGAATTTTCAAAAAGCGACCAACAGGAGAAAGAAACGACAAGGTGCTAAAAAAACTCCAAGTTTTACATTATATTAAAGTTTTTAAGTCAAGTTCTGTTTGATTAAAAAATAAAAATAATATATTGTTACATTTCCTTTCAACTTTATTTGATATAGTTGCACTAGTGGAAGTGAAATTTATCTATTTCTTAACTTAAAATATTATCGGTTAATTCCAACGCTGAAATAAAATTTTAACAGTTACAAAGCTACATTAAAATTTCTACGTTCATTAAGTCAGTCAATACAAAATATTTCTTACAAATGAACTACGCGGAACTATTTAATCCAAAAACTTAAGTTATTAAAGAGGAGATTTTAATTTATTTAAGTCTTCAACAGTTATCCTTGATAAAATTGTAACAAAACTATTATTGGCAAAATTACAGTTAAATTTCTCTATAACAACAACGTTTGTTTCGATTTTTTTTAATTGCTATAATGAAGTAATACTATAGAGAATATGTATTATAATATAACATAAAAAATTAATTCTAAAAATATTTGACCATTATAGTAAAGTAATGTTATAAATGATCACAAAGGCATAATTAAAACGACACCTATTCCTTAACAAAAGATTTAAGAAGAAAACCACATAGTTCTTCTATTCTAGTCTAGTTTGGACTTTGGAATCCCAAACATAGCTAAATTCTACTTTAAAAACCAAAAAAGCCACAGGGTATAATAAGCTACAGAGATTCGAGTCTCTTGCGCCGAACATGTTATTCTTTTTTAGATTCTTTTAAATTAGGCAGAATAATTCAACAACAGGCAGTTGATAATCCAAGACAGCAGTGATTATTCTATTAAAAATTACTACTACTAAAATAAAAAGAATCGAATCATCGTACACGACAACAGAAATCAACTTGGACGATTGCGTCTTAAATCTTCTCTTGTGTCACAACATAGTATAGTTTAATACTCCAATTTATCATCATCACCACTATTAGATAGAAACCTAAAACTGAAGTTGAGCTCATTTGAAGTTAAACCTTTGTAATTTTCCGTCAATTGCTATTGATATTTGATATTCGATTATATGAACTGCTATTGTTAAAGAATTTGCAATGGAGTCGATAGTATTAACGACGCCGTTTAGAGGGCTGGAGGAGTCAACAAGTAGTTCAGAAAGTTCAGGTTCGGATCCTACAAATGCAGTGATATTTGTAGGGATCAGTTTGCTATTGGGAATCGCTTGCAGACACGTGTTGCGGGGTACCAGAGTTCCTTACTCTGTCGCTTTGCTTGTTCTTGGCATTGGCGTTGGCTCTTTAGGTTCGTTTTTCCTGTTTATTTATCTATTTATTTATTTTATATTTTTCACTTCCTGAATGATCATCAGTACCTGAATGATCACCATGTGATCGAATTTGAGCTAAATTGCAGAATTTCCCGCATTTGACATTCATTTTGGATGTCTGTACAAATCTCAAGACACCTTTGTATCTCTGATTTGCTTGTATCTGTGTCTTCTAAGCTGCACCCACCTAATTAGCTTCAGCTGGTCCAGACTAGTATATCATAATGGGGCTTTATTGTAATTGCCTTCTTTTAAATATAAATGAACTAGCAGCCTCATCTAAAAACTTAAATTGTTAAAGAGGCGACTTATTCATTTTTAATTCAGTAACATACCGACTTGATTTTTCTTCTTGGGCCAAGCAAGTGAAAACATTTATGTTGATGGTGGTAGTGAGACCAAATTCAAGACATGTTTTGGAATTTGTTTTTTGGACATGTTTTGGAGCATCTGCTGCCAGCTCGAGATGTAAATGACACTGATGTTATTGATAATATAATATTATGCACCTCTGCTTCAGGTGCCAACAAAATTTTGAAGTAAACAATCTTTATATTTTGAGTGCTGATATATGCATAACAAGTTACCCTGCAGAATATGGAACACATCATGGGTTGGGAAGGATTGGAGATGGTATTCGTATCTGTAAGTTCAATTCTTTATATTCTTCGCACAAGTATCCATTAAGTTCAAATTTCTCTCTGTCCAATAGCAACTAGAACCCCCCATTCCCCAGTATACCATTGGTTAATTATTCTGCTCTCAAATGTCTGTTCCTGGTAAACCATGAACCTTTTGGCATCTGCACAGGGGCAAACATTGATCCTGATCTTCTGTTGGCGATTTTCCTTCCTGCTCTTCTTTTTGAGAGTGCTTTCTCAATGGAAGTTCACCAGATAAAGGTACATTAACACTAGCATTCCTTTCTTCTACTGCTCGTAGAATGTGGAAACTATGGGTGCTCCAGTGATGATTTTTCTCCTGTATGTATGTACATCTGTATGTTATTATGCTTGTGCATTCTTTTGACTTCTACCTCCTTGCTTGCATTATTGTTTTGTTCATATGATTGTTTATGGCATAATTTATGCTATTCTTCAGCTATAAAATAAAATGTCATGCATTATGTCTTCTTCATGTTTTACAACCTTATATCTTGCTGCTTTTATCTTTAAATGCTGACCCAGTATTGATCTGCTGGCATTGAACTTATTGTAAAGACTACAGAGGCAATATATTTTCTGATGATTAATAATTTTATTGAATAAAATGTAGCATTGAGGGAATGCTGTCATGCACAGGCTGCAATTTACAAAAATGGTTTGTATTTTCCCCTATGTTCCTGGAAAGAAGACAGGAACTCAAAAAAGTATATAGATTGTATAATCTTTCAATTTGGTCCAAAATGCTAGTAGATACAAACACCTAATTTTAAGTATATGAAATGCATCCTCCTTGCTTTCAGAACATCTGCAGTTTCTTTCTCTCCTAATACCCATAACATACATGCTGGGGTGGTGATTTCAAATGTCCTTGTGTAGCGTTTTCACTCTCTTTCCAAACCAATAGGCCAGTAATTCTTTAAGCACCTAGGCAACACCAATATCACCTAACGGCGAGGAACATGTACGGTAGTTGGAGTACTAGGTGCCAATGTAGGAAGAGATGGTCTATGTCTTCAGATTCACTGCTCACAGGTGTATCATCTATTGCATAGGACAATTTCTCCTTTCTGGAGGTTTGCTTGTGTAAGCCACCCACTGTGTAAAGCTGCCCACATGAAGGATGCTTCTAATGGGGTGTTGATCTTACACAGGTGCTTCCATGAGAAACCATTCTGGCTCTCCCTGATGAAACTAAGGATGGATAACAAGATTTGATTGTGAGAGCCACTTTTTGGTATGGTTTCCAGCACAAACAATCTGGTTTATCAGATAAATAGCCGTACTTGTCCAGCTTCTCTATTAATCCTGTGATGCTGCCTGTCTGTCAATCTTTTAGAATTCTTCTAAGCTTTTCTTCCCATCACTTTTCCGTCGTGCATTGGGCTTCCATGTCTCACAGTATTCTGCATCATATGGAACAAATCTTGAAATTCATCTTGTAGGAGGATGTGCCTAACCATGCATCCTGCCAAAACTTTATTTTCCTTCCGTAGCCTAAGTTGGATGCTGTAACCAGAAAAGAGTTCTTCCAAAAGCTCCCTAATGTACTTCCCTAAGAAAATTCCATATGAAGAGGTGACTGAGTTAGACCACCTGGGGAGGAGCTCAAACTTTACTGTGACTACTGACTTACCCATGGCATTCTGTTCAGAGTTAATTCCCAATTCCATTTGTACAGAAGACTTCTGTTGTGTAGATTTAACCCTTGTAACTAAATGACCATCTTAGGTTTGCACTCTTGCTCAGTTAACCATGTGGAATACTTTGCCTTCTGCATTACCATCCCATATAAAGTCCCCTTTAGGCTTTTTCAGCTTCTGAGAGTTCACCACTAGTTTTAAATCGATCATGTTTCATCTTGCTGTCTACTTGGGTTAAGTTACCATGTGACTAATGCAAAACTTATGCTTAATCTATTAATCCTGAGGAAAGGAGTATTGCTGGGAGCTGAAAGATAATAGTTTGTGTCTGTGAAGTTTGTGTATAAAAGAAACTGTAGAGATTTGGGACTCCGATGCGAGGCTGTGAGGCTTTGAGGTGTCTGAAGACGCCGCAAAAGGAAAATGAGGGGTTGGAGGGTTTCAGATGAAGGAAGTTGATGAAAGAAGTTAGGTGATTGGCCGTGTGGAGAGGATCAAAGATATTCTATAGTGGAAATAAATGAAAACCTCGAGAGCCCAGAAACCAGAAACTTAGCACAAACAGCCTATGTTAACTCTCCCATCAAAATATGATCATTGCAAAAGGATTTAATAATTTAAATAACATGATCCCAGCATATATCTTTTGGTGTTTATGGACAGAGAGGAACAAGAGATGTTTTGATGGCATCTCAACTCCAAATCACTCCTTGAAGGTTAAATGTCTTGTAAACCTATTTAGTTGGTCTAACTACCCCTGTAAATAACTTAGACTAAATTTTTGATTTTCTTAGCTCCCTAGATTAGCTTAATCACTTATACTGGAGCTAAATCTCAATGTTGCACTCTTGTAGTCTTTGCATCTACTTGGTGCCATCTGAAAAGATAATCTGAATAACTCTAACTGACAAATTAGCTTAAAATCTTTTCGCTTTCCTTAGATATCTCAAACATATTGCAGTGCATAATGACCTTAATTCCTCAAATTTTTACTGTAATTGGAGAAGCTTTTCTCGGTACACTTCCATGTTAATCTCTTTGTTCTAGTATGTTTCCCACTCAGAAATGATCCCTTTTTTCCCTCTATCACTAATCATATTATGGCATTTGGCTTAACACTATTTGCCTTCTGTAACATTATTTTTCTGGTTTCCACCTCTGATCATTGAATTTGTCAATTTGGCTTTAACCTGTATTAGTGAACTAAACCAGTCATTTCTCCAAATGCAGAGGTGTGCAGTACAGATGATTCTACTTGCTGGGCCTGGCGTGCTTATTTCCACCTTTTGTCTTGGATCTGCCCTCAAGGTCAGCTGAATTCTGATTTTCCAGAGTTTAATAGTTTTTTCGGCAGAAGCATCTGAAATTAGTGACAAATGTAGCTTGCTTTTCCTTATAACTGGAGCTGGCAAACATCGTTGTTGCTTGGTGGACTTCTAAGTGCTACTGATCCTGTGGCTGTTGTAGCCCTTCTCAAGGAGCTCGGTGCCAGCAAGAAATTGGGTACCATAATTGAAGGAGAGTCCTTGATGAATGATGGGTAATTTACTCCTAGTAGAAATATGTTGTATGTTGCTTATGTTAAGAGATGTAAATTTGCTTCATCCATATTAGAGGGGATAAGTGGAATTTCATGATAATTGTATCCTCTTTCCTTCCCCTTTCCTTGGAGAGTTTTTCCAATAATATTTTGCTTATTCTTCATTGTGGTAACTCCTCCTTTTCCTTCAGGACGGCAATTGTTGTGTATCAGCTACTTTTAAGGATGGTAACTGGTTGGGCCTTTAACTGGGGAGCCGTCATCAAATTTTTAGTACAAGTTTCCCTTGGGGCGTATGTATATTTGCATTTAATATTGGTTATCTGCTAGTGGAAGTCGTCTGATAAGTTTTGTTTTTGTGGTCCAGAGTAGGCGTTGGTCTTGCTTTTGGAATAGCTTCTGTTTTATGGCTGGGTTTCATTTTCAATGACACGGTGATTGAGATCACCCTGACTCTTACCGTGAGCTATGTTGCTTACTTCACAGTATGTACCCTTCCGATCTTGCATACTTGAAACGCTTTCTTTTTTTGTTTTGAAAAGGTAACAATTCCAATATATTAGTTAATATATCGGCACAAAGTTTGTGCTGGGAGTCAGAATGTACATCATGAAGGGTGAAGACAAAAACCTAAAGCTAAACAATCCTTGTTCTTCTTACAAGGAGTCTAAGACTTCTATGATTGAATCCTGGTCATCAATCTCAAAAAAAAAAAATTCTAATTTACACTAAAAGCTAAAAAGGAGAATACAATTCATTTTGATCTTCTGTGTAGGGCTACTTGTATCTTCAAAGCACCTAGCATTCCTCTCCTTTTATACTGTCCAACAAATAGCAGCTGCGAAAATTTTCCATGTCTTTGTTACAGGTAGAGTTCCTCCCTGTATTCTACCTAGAAAAATTCAGAGGTTCTTCCTGGCATTGTCCACCTAATACCCCTGAGGTTGATGAACAATTCCCACAACTGTCTGGTCATTCTACAGTGTAGAAACAGATGGCTAATTGTCTCTCTTGTCCACATAAATAGCATCTACAATCAATTGGTAATCTTCTTTTCCTAAGATTTTCATGAGTAAGTACTGCTTCTTTAGCTACCAACCAAGTAAATGATGCCTCTTTATATGATTTTTAACTTTGGAAATGTGTTTCACAAGGCCATAAGCTGATTTGAGACACCTGATTCAAATCTCTGTAAGCTGAACTTACTGTATAACTTCCACTTCTGTGCTTCTGCCATGAAAGAGTGTCTTCCTGCTCTTGTAGTCCTCTGCATTGTTCCAAGGTGTTATAAAATTCTGTTATTTTAGGCAAATCCCTATCCTAAAGTAGTCTTTTGATGGTTAAGTTCCATCCCTGAATTCCCCATAATTCCTTTCTCTGTAGCCCCCTGTTGCTTATTCAGAGCAATAATATCAGGGAATAAACTCTTCAGACATCCTATTCCCAGCCAGTTGTCCTCCCAGTATAATATTTTCCTTCCATCCCTCACATTGAAATTCAGTTTGAACGAAAGACTTGGCTGCAGGTTCCTGATTGATCTCCAGTCTCCACAGACTGGTTCCATAAGTATTCTTCACCTTGCTAGTCATCCAGAAGCCTTCTTTTCCATACTTGGCCTTTATCACCCTGCCCCGTAGTGTTTGTTCTTCCCTTGTAAACCTCCACAACCACTTCATCAATAGACATTTGTTCTTCCTTTCCAGATTTCTGATTCCCAGTCCCTCTTCTTGTTTACTAATAGTTAGCTTTTTCCATTTAACTAAGTGCAATCCTTTTCTCTCTTTGTTTCCATGCCATAGAAAATTCCTTCTCAAGGTTTCCAGCCTCTATACTACACTTGCAGGTAAAGGGAATAAGGACATCATGTAGGTAGGGAGAGCATCCAGCACAGAGTTGATATGAACTAGTCTACCTCCCAGAGAAATGTACTATGGTTTCCATCTAGCTAGCTTTTTCTCACATCTTTCCGTCATTTATTTGTATTAGGATGGGAAACCTTATCTCTTATCTACTACCTTGGCCTGTAAAGTTTGTCAACTTGTCTAGATTCTTTTATCATTAGCTTTCAAGTTCCAAATTGTGAGAAAATAAGAGAAGATAGGAGATATCTCACTGGTTTAACGATAATTTAATACAATAGGTGTAAGATACATTCTATTTTTATATTTAACCCGCGATGGACTCTTAACTTATACTAAGATACACTAAATTTTTTACTAAGTATCTAAGCTTACCCCTTAAGGTAGTGCATAGATGTCGTATATACCTAGCTTTTGTTTACATATATAACTAGTTCGCAGAGTGGGTTGCTCTAGTGGTGAGCACCCCCCACTTCCAACCAAGAGTTTGTGAGTTCGAGTCACCCCAAGAGCAAGGTGGGGAGTTCTTGGAGGGAGGGAGCGGAGGGTCTATCGGAAACAGCCTCTCTACCCCATGGTAGGGGTAAGGTCTGCGTATACACTACCCTCCCCAGACCCCACAAGTGGGATTATACTGGGTTGTTGTTGTTGTTGTATATAACTAGTTCGCAGACCAGGGAGGGATTTGATGAATATGTCTTGCATGCTGATCATTTGACTTTACAAACTTGAAAGTATCTTTCAAGAGTTTGGTCCTCTCGTGAAACACTAAATTTAATTCAATATGTGGTGCAACTACACTCTAACTCCTTCAATCAAATGTCCAGTAATTTCAGTTCTTGAAGTTCTAGTTAGAGCAATATAAGTTGGAGGTTGCCACCATTATGCTTGGATATTTGGCTTCTGCATTGAATCTAGCAATAAGGTTTCATACTGTACTAACACACTGAATGACTGCCAGCTAAAACATAGCACCCGGAGATAGAGCGCTATCGAAATGTCCTCTCAAGGTGTACATACATGCCATATATACCTAGTTTTCCTTCCATAGAGAACTAGTCCATGGACCAACGAGAGAATTGGTGAATGTCTTGCAAACTGATAATTTGACCTTACAAACTTGGTGATTGTAACAACCTACTTATTGCTAGCGGTTGAACTAGAAAGGGGTTCACTGCGAAGCTTGCCTTAGGCAACATGAGGTTCCTTTTGGGTTAAAGCCCAAGAGAGGCCCCAATGGTTGGGCCATAGTGGACAGTACCTTGGTAGTTGGGCTTGAGGCATTACAAGTGGTATCAGAAGCAGTACCGCACGTAGTACAATTATGGGCAAACCTCAACGAGGATGCTGAGTTCCTTGGGGGGTTGTGGG